CTGTTTTTGAACACTAGGTAAGTTTATAATGCTTCATGTGAATAGAAAACATCAGAGATTGTGGCAAGATCTACTTCTGCTTCCAGAAAAGTCTGCGATATTTTTCAAATCTGGTGTTGTAGTCGATTACGTATTTTATGTGGAATAAAATTTTTTTGGAGACTAGAAGCTATGATAGTTATATCAATAACGAGTCGTCAGCTTGGAGATAATTAGAGTTAGACACATTAGAAATTATCTACACTGTTCTTATGGGTGGATTTGTGCAAAGATTTAACTCAATAAAAATCACCAAATATTGCTGAAATCGTTGGCTTAAGAGTGTAAACCTTCGTTACTTTGTCAGCCAATCTTCACCAGTTCTCAAATCCTCCTAACTTGCAGCCAATGCACGCTATGCTCGCCGCTGACAACATGGCTGAAGCAGCTGAGCTTGCAGCTGTACAAGAAGCAAGAATACGACGCGCTCCTGTGCCGCCTGCATACCGTTTCACTGGAGGAAGTGCACCATGCCTTGAACAATGAGTTCCACTGGGACATGGCCATCAGGGAGGTAAGGCGATTCTTGATTGATTAAGGATTAATAAAACAAGGGCTCTGTTACAATTCATATAGAGAGACCGCAACCAAAATTATGCGAGTCCAACCGAAGTTCTACCTACTGGCTCTGTCTTCCTCTGTCAGACTCAATGACGAGTGTTTTATTAGCGTTCACCAGTTGGTGCCATTATACATGAAGTAAGGTCTTGTTACTCGCTAGTGATAGTGACTAAGCTCGCTAAAACCGTGGCAGGACTGTCGCATTTGCAGTTGCACTCACCGGGTTAAATCAATCCGGCAATCTTTGTATTGAAAAGTCTATTCGAATCGAATCCATTCGAAATCCTCCTTTTTCTTCTGATGTACTCTGTCGCGAGTCCAATAATTGTTTATCTTTGGGAGCAAAGTTATTTTTTACTACTTTAGATTTATTGCCAATCAATATTTTTTCAGAGTTCATTTCACGGTAGGACGAAGGTAGCTCTTTCACTTTGTTATTGCCGCATTGTTTATTTACCGTCCTATTTAATTCCAGCTGATATCGTTCCGCAACTACACCAAGTACGAGCTGAACAAGTCACTAAACGAGCTGCTGGGGCAAGTCAAGCTGCACCTGCTGGAAGACGTGGCCGCCGACACCAGCCGCGTGGCCGCCTGCCTGGCGGGGAACGTCACGAGGAACGAGTTCGGACATGCTGCGCTGTGAGTATACAGTTAAACATCTAGCAGACTACAGTCTTTTAGTCGGTCGTTAGTTTAGTCGGCTGCCAATTCGTATGAGAAATCGGCGAATGATACCAAAATTTGGTACAATGTGCGCACTTCCCTACATGTTCACACTGATAAACAAACAAACTCGGCCAAACTATCGGCTGACTAAATCTGTAGTCTGCGGGTGTCTTAACCAGGAGTTGCTTCGCACGTTATGTTATATTATGGCTATTTCTTTAAATAAATTAAATGAAAAAAAAATTCGATGTAAAGCACAAGAAAATATTAACAATGCTGCACAATACTGCTATCATTATATTCTTCTCAACTCTATCCAGCTGTATGTTATCCCAAAGGACAAGCAGATGCCCTGATAAGGGTTACTTAGTAATACAATTTGAAGCATCGACAATACATTCAAACAATACCACTTACGAGTAGCTATATAGCACTGATTTCAAATTAACTAAATAATTAATTTGAAATCAGTCAAAAAAAAATCATCAAATCATTAAAAAAAAAACACAATTTGAATTTGAAAAAATTAACTACCCTACTTCCTCCCCAGTTTCCTCACAGTCCTCGCTCAGACGACTACCCTCATCCGAGCGGAACTGCCCCACCTACACGAGATAGACGGCGTGAAAGAAGTAGCTTTTCTCAAGGAGCTGGCCTCACAAATAGCTCCCAACTTGGATGTCTACGAGCCGCTGAAGCAGTACTTGAAAGATGGGAACAGCTTGGAACAAGACTTGAGGAAGTTAGGAGACGAGCTGGCGATGAAAGTGCGGGAGGGTGACGTGAATTTGAGATTGGTAAGTTTTACAGTTATTTGTAAAACTAAAACTATCTTAATAAAGTGATGCTGAAACTATTCAAGATGAAATTGGCGTGAAACTCGTCATTTTGGAACCTATAGGCCTAGGATGCTAGTCATGATAAACTTTTATCGAGGTGTTTTATCGATTTTGCACGATAAGCCCATAGATTTGTCGTCTTAAATCGTCGATAAGATAACATGGCGAGCTTCCTAGTCCGGCTGGAAGGTTTGGGACAAACAATTTTTGTTTGTTCGAAATCTTGCTGGTTCCAATAGTCCCAGTTTTGTTATTGTCTTTTACCATGTTCTATAGATATGAGTTTATTTTAAAACTACTTTGGTTTCAGCTTAAAAAATCCCTGGACCAAAACTCAATGGAAAACTTTGTAGTGCTACAAAACCGTAGCCGTGGAGAGTTATGCCCTCACTCGGATTGTGCTGTTCTTATGGATATTATCAAGAATAACGTCAACTCTACGCTTATTGCTAACGATGTAAGTTAGATATTTTTTATCTTCAATATTAAACTGTTCACTATTATTATAAGATGATGGACGTACTGTAGTTATAAAAAGCTATACATAAATAGTAAATCACAATTACCAAGTTATTTCCGAAATAACGTTCGTCAGTATGTGACTAAAACCTTTTTTCGTAACCCCCAGTTACCAAAACTCCAAGAAACGGAGTTCTGGAAGTTCCAGCATGTGTCGAACATCTTGTTCCACGTAGAACAGCTGCTCAAACACCTGGGCAGGCTGGTGGGGCTGGCCAGTACTATGGATGTGGCTGGAGTGCTCAAAGGAAGGCTTGCTCCTACCCTCGACTTGGTATTGGAGATATTGGCAGAGGATCCCCTCAATAGCGTCATCTACAGGTAAAGCCCGGTCTCTGAGCACGTAGAATTTTGTCCAATGACCCCAAGCTACCCATCCTTATCGCTCGCGCGTAATTATGTTGCTGTCGCGCTCGCACACTCACTGCGGGCGCCCGTCGCACAGTCGCGACAGCAATATATTTACGCGCGAGCGATAAGGATGGGTACCTAGCTTGGGGTCAATGGACAAAATTCTACGTGCTCAGAGACCAGACTATAGTTGTTTATGTCTCAATAATATTTAAGACGCTTGGGGCCTACTTTAAAGACTAACTTTTGTGAGCAGCTTGCCGCACGTGCAATGAATAACAAAGACTTGAGAAATTGTATACCTAAAAACCTTCCAATCAATCTTATTTGTTAGTGAAAAACGCATGAAAATCCGATCAATAGTTATTTAGTTTATCGCGAACAGACGAAATTGATGCGATGGAGGACTTGTTTTTCTAATAATTATGTAGTGAATAATTTATTTATTCCATTATTACAGTCTCCACGGCATCCTTGAACAGCTGCGGCCGCTGCTAGGCAACTCCACCCTGGAGCACGATCTACAGGCCCTGACAAGTGGACTTCAAGTGCTGCATCAGTACAAAACCTATCTGGAGAAACAGGACTTCAAAAGTATGATTCATTCAGTTATTCTTTATTTTTACGTTACTCATGTTTTGACTTCAGATTGGCTATTGACTGAAGAACTTGATCGCGCCTGCTGCATTTAATGACACTAGAATTTTCATATCCTAAACAGTTAGGAAATAATACCCTATGAAAACATACCTTTTCCAAGTAATCCGAACATTATGCTTGTTTTAGAAATAAGTACATCACAATACTTTGACGCTCGACCGTTTCAAACCGTTAGGCTACTGTCACTTATTTTTCCTTGCTCTCTCTTTCTTCACTGTACCTTGTCACCATTATCTATTGACTACGTATCGGTATCGGGACCATTCCCATCTCGTCCCCACCGCTGCAACTCCTGTGTAGCCATGATCTACAGCCTGACCGCCAATAAAAATCAAACCAGTTGCAGTGGGTTTTTCTACATATTGCTATAGTTCGTTTCATCCACGAAGACGCACCGAGTCGAAGAAAGCGGGGGGTGCGGGGTGTGTTTGATTCGAGCAATCCGAGCGTCATAGTTGGCATTAGCAGTGTTGCAATGAGGGCTATCGTTTTAGCGCTCACCAGTTAGCGCCACTGTAGAGTAAGGTCCTGTCACTTGCTAGTAGCGAAGACAGTGGCACCAACTGGTGAGTGCTTAAGTGGTAGGAGGACTAGCACATTTGCAGTCATCAAGATGGCGCCACTGTAGAGTAAGGTCCTGTCAATCGCCAGAAGTGCCAACTGCTACGTATAAAAACGATAGCCCTCATTGGACAGTTGTCCGTAGTGCGCGCGCACACTACAAGGATGACGCTCGGATTGGTCGGATCAGGCTCCCCGCACCCCGCGCTTCCTTCGACCCCGCGCGTCTTCGTGGATGAAACGAACTATAGTAGGTGGTCACATACCGGTAGTCATATAGCGTCCAGTCCTAACTTAGTTATTATATTCCAGTCCCGGTGTGGGAGGTGTTCTTGAGCCTGGACCGCGTGGAGTCGGCGCTGGCGGCGCTGGGCATCAACAACACCAACTTCTGGTCTATTGCTGCGCCGCGCATACACGCCGGGTACATACTGCTCAAGCCGGTAGGTGTCTACTCACTTTGGAATGCCTTTCAAACATTACTACCTATTCTAGAAATAGCTTGAAATATCTACTAAAGCCTGGTCTGTGAGCACGTAGAATCCCGTCCAATGACCCCAAGCTGCCCATCTTTGTCGCTCGCACGTAATTATGTTGCTGTCGCGCTCGCACACTCACTGCGGGCGCGCGTCGCACAGTCGCGACAGCAATATAATTACGCGCGAGCGATAAGGATGGGTAGCTTGGGGTCATTGGACGGGATTTTACGTGCTCACGGACCAGGCTTTACCTGAGGTGGAATTTGAACCCATCCCCTTCCGCTCACTAGATGACTAGATTAGGCTACTTCATCATTTTCATTTATGTCAAGTGACGGTGAATGGACCCCGAAAGAATCCTTCATGACCTTAGCCAGATCCCTTGTAAAGGTGTTAAGGCACAAGTGGCATTAAACTAGGCAAATCACGGTCTAAAAGGTCCTTTTCGTAGTCACACTTTTCTGTCAGTCAACTGACTGGTGGCAGAGTAAATAAAAATGAGTAGGTCATCTTCATAGAAACGCACCGAGTGTGGTTTGTATGTGAGCGCGCCAATACGTATGCGGCGCGCACGCACACACTGACAAAATTAAGCGGGGATTTGCGCCGAATTTTATCAGTGTGTGTGTGCGCGCTGCATACGTATTGGCGCGCTCACATACAAACCGCGCTCGTTGCGTTTCTATGAAGATGACCTACTCATTTGTATTTACTCTGCTAGTGGTATCAATCATCATCATTATTTCATAGGACGTCCACTGGTGAACATAGGCCTCTCCCAATCAATAAGTATCAATCATATAGAACTATTATAGCCTAATACATATTTAGCAAACACTGAGGCCCAGAACAGACGGTGAAACGAAACTGCAACTGCTAGTTACTTTTGAGTTGCATCTAAGTTTCTGCCATAGCGTCCGTTGAGAGACCACACATGACGCGACCAGTTTGAAACTTTCAGTTTCGCGAGTTTACATCGAAAACAAAACACGCACGATGGCCCACCTACAGGATACTATTCGACAAGGCCTCACATACGAGCGAACATTGACTCACGCACGCGTATTCTTGTGTATGATGGAAGAAAATAAAGAAAATGGTGTACTAAATACTGTGCAGTATTTAACTGCCTAAATATTAATAAAAACACAGAATGTACCTTTTTAAGTTGCCTCAAGACACTGAGAGGCAAATAAGTAGTTAATATTATTCATGATAATTCATACTAAATCATGTATTTCCTCCGCCATTTTCCGCAGTTTGGCACCTCACTTCATACATCATTTTACCGAAGTCAGCCCTATGGCTTCGGCGCAGTACCGATCACTGACGTTTGTCAACAAAATGGTGCTCGACTCTTGAGACAAGCTAAATTACACCATATTGTTAATAACATTGAGCATACATTTTTTTAAATACCTTCGCGAAGTAAAACTTCTGTACGTAGTACTTATTATTATTCTGTGGTTTCAGTTTCATTCATCAGAATAATCACAATGTTGCAGTGTCGTTGCAGTTGCGTTTCACCGTCTGTTCTGGGTCTTACCAAACCATTATGTTTTCCAGATCCTTTCCTGGAAGCCAGGCGACCACATAGCCAACTACGTGTGCCAGCTGGAAGCCATGTCGCGCGCGCTACAGCCGGCCGACCTGGGCGTGGTGTCGCGCGATGACGTCAGCGGCGCCGTGGCCGAGCAGCTGTGCGGCCTGCCCGACGAGCGCGCCAAGCAGCTGCTCGTGGCTTTGATGCAGAACTTGAACTTCAGCTATATTGTGGACAAAGTGAGTATTTTATGAGGGCTATCGTTTTAGCGCTCACCAGTTAGCGCCACTGGAGAGTAAGGTCCTGTCACTTGCTAGTAGCGAAGACAGTGGCACCAACTGGTGAGCGCTAAAGTGGTAGGAGGACTATCGCATTTGCACTCATCAAGATGGCGCCACTGTAGAGTAAGGTCCTGTCAATCGCCAGGGGTGCCAACTGTTAAGTATAAAAACGATGGCCCTCATTACAGCTCGATAGCTTCTGTATGGTGTCTCCAACATGACAAAGGCAGCTGTGGACAGCTAATAGCAGCTCTGCGCTAGAAATTGATCTTCACGTACATTAAGGACAAGGTACGCTTCTGAATAGTGTCCTCATCACTTCGGCATAGCCAGGCGACTACGCAGCTAACTACGTGCAAAGCAATTGGTCGTGGTTTTGAAGCAGAACTTGAACTTCAGCTATATTGTGGACAAGGTGCGTGCTTTACTACAACTCAATGACTTAAGTGTCACCAACACCAAATGTACTTACATAGCAGCTGTGGCCAGCTGATAGCAGTTCTGCTCCAGAATTGATCCTCACGTACATTATGGATAAGGTGCGTATTAAATTACAGCTCAGTAGTTTCTGAATGGTGTCTCCAACACGACATGTATAGCAGCTGTGGCCAGCTGATAGCAGCTCTGCTCCAAAATTGATCTTCACGTAAATTATGGACAAGGTGCGTATTTAATTATAGCTCAATAGCTTATGAATGAATAAATGGTGTCCTCATCACTTCGGCGATGCCAGAAGAATACGTTGCTAACTACGTGTGTTAGCTAAAAGACATGTCGCTAATATATCCATGCAAAACAGGGTCAGTGTCGGTCTGCTCTACTGCAAAATAAGAATTAACTTCACTACTTAGATCCAGATGCAGACTGTTCATTCAGTGGTAAGTTGCTAATTAATTTAAGCCGCAAGAAGCTATTAGTAAGGTAAGGTTTCAAAATTTGTTGTTTTTTTGTTTATAAGCTGGGAACCGTAGCAATTTTTATCTTGACGACAATCGAAACACTAACGTCACATTAATTCATTGTATTTTCCCCCAGGTGACCGCAGCCCTCCTCGTACAACTCTACACAGCCTCCAACCTCACAGAAGCAGAGGGCACAGCAGTAACGCAAGGTCTACCTCGCATGGCCGCCGTGCTGCCTTCAGTACAGGCTCAGATCAGCGAGGTGGCAGACTCTTTTGCTGAAGAGCCATTGTTCAAGAGCCTGGCCAACTTCAGCTCCGTCGGGGGACTATTGGGATGTAAGTAGAGCTGTTGGCTTGATATTACAACCCGGTTATGTATTAGTCGAACCTTAATTTCGAACTCATCCTATTTTCTTCTGATTAATTTCATTGCGGATAAAATGACAGTTTAACTTTCCCCCGGGACAAACTTGACTATACAGGAGTTGCAGTGGTGGGAACGAGACCAGTTATTATCAGGCGGCCGTGACGTCACATCTTTGCTCTGGTACTTACGGTGGGAGGGAGAGTCGCATTCCAGTGAGATACGCAGCTAGCTTGATCGGGTTGTAAGCACTATAGAGCCTGCCTTGCATAGATGTTAGGATGTAAGAAGAGCTGTTGGCTTGATACATAATACTGTAGAGTCTGCCTCGCATGGCCGCCGTGCTGCCTTCAGTACAGGCTCAGATCAGAGAAGTGGCTGACTCTTTCGCTGGAGAGCCATTGTTCAAGAGCCTGGCCAACTTCAGCTCCGTCGGGGGACTGTTGGGATGTAAGTAAAGCACTAAAGCCTGGTCCGTGAGCACGTAGAATTTTGTCCAATGACCCCAAGCTACCTATCCTTATCGCTCCTATATTATCCTATAGAAACCAATTGAGCTTACTGTGCACCTAGTTGGAATGCTACTCTCCCTCCCATTTACACTCACACTTCCCTCTTTCGCCCCGCGCGTTCTTACCAGAGCGTGGAATATGTTAGTTAAATTGGCTCACCGACTACATGTCACTCGGCGAGCTATAGAACGGAATAAAATCCAAAACGAGATCGTTCGGTAGAAGACCAAAACAATGGATAATGTTCAAAAATATAGCAAGCTGAAATCAAGTTCGAGCGAGTTTTCAAATGGAGATCACATCTCAATAAACGCAATGTTGGGCGCCCAACTGATAGGTATACCGAAGACCTAAAAAATTCCAGATCATTATTAGATTCCAGATTAAATTATAATTCGAAACTTCTTCATTTCCAGCGTCAGAGTTTCTAGCGAGTGCGGGCAACATGCTGTGCGGGACGCCTTTCTCTGCTGCTGTGCCGCGGCTGTACCGCAGTGTCATCGCCAGCCCCGACAAGGCTGACAAGCCGGATGAGCGACAACTACAAGCACTGCCTAGTAAGTGAAAAGTTATCGGATCTATTTGTTACTTATGGTGGTTATAAATGGTAGGTATACGTGACGCCCTACTGCCGTACCATTATCGATCAATGTTTGGTGAACGGCACGTAAAAGGGTTCACAAAAATACATATCCACGGCATCGCGACTAGGTGGCATCGCTTTCTGGTTTCTCGACCTTTTTCATTTCTCGAAGTACGAGAATTCTTGACAAAGATTTCTCGAGTTTCCTGAATATATTTAAGATTTATTCAACTAATATAGTAGTAGTTATATTCATACAAACTGGAAAAAAGAGCCTTTAGCTCATCAATTAAATTAATGTGCTTTTAGTGTAAGCGCACACTGGGCGATAGTCGCGACCGCGACACTTAGCCTAGGCGCACACCACCGAATTTTAGTAGCCCGATCGTTGAGCCGGATTCTAATTTATATGGGTCATTCCATAAAAATCTGTATATTTTCGACGTCATTTTGTCCGTAACTTTTTTAAGATGCTTTTGAATACTTTATTAGTGTAAATTATTGTTTATTAATTAATTATGTTATGTCTAAAAGGGCCAGTCACTTTATGCTTTATTTTAGGATAAATTATAATTTTCAATTTTTTCATACTACATTACTCCTATATGACTTCTAATAAAGTATAAAACTTTTAACCTTAACATTTATAGATAAGTTAATACACATAATGTAGTTGTTTTGTTATTATCACTATATAAAAAACATCATTCCCTAACTAGTAATTTAGTCCCAAGTGCCGTTTAAAGCTAGGGCCTGACGCTCTAGGGACTGACGATTTGGAGTAAAACTTAACACAAATGCAGATTAACTTTATATTATAAGATGCTTAATACGATGTGCCGAAAATCGCCCAAAAACCACACGTAAATACTATTAAATTATATACAATTTCCTATTATAATCAATAAAGCTACTCAACTAGGGACTGACGAAGTGACTGGAATAACACATGTTTTGGTAACAACTGGCACGTTTGCACTAATTCAAAAAACGGCTACCGCAAAGCCAGTATGGTCTGAGGATAACTTCGTATCGTACTTTAAACTCAACTAAATATCATTCACTCTAATTACATATTAAAGCGCAAAATTATAAAATCAGTGCGTGGCGAGGGAATGACGCTAAAAACTGTAGACTCTTTTTCAACTAAAGAAAATCAAATTATTGTTTATTGAAACCGCAAAATATTAATAGAATTTGGTGTAATATACATTTAAATAGATTATTCGTTAATTAAAACAAAGGATAAAGTTGATGTTTTTATAAATGTGGGTCCCAAAACACAAACTTTTGGAGTACGGACATGCCTAGGGAATGACGTTTTGGGTCATTCAAAAGGAATGGGGATGTTGCCTGGGTCAAAAAGCAAGAGTTTTAATTAGTCCGTCAGTTAACTTATCAAAAAATACTCTACATGTATTTTTCACTTTTTCAAACTAATGAAAATTTAAAGAGATAAAGCGCCCCAAAGTTCATAAGAAGAGGCCCGTGACGTCAACGCTTGCTTAAAAATGCCGCACGTTGTGACGTCGTGCGCAACTTCAACGCACCATAACTATGTAATTATTTGTTAGATTGACAAAGAAAATTATATGTGTCCAATATTTTTTGATATTAAACATTACGGACTAAAAAAATTTTTTTAGGCAACTAGCCTATTTAAGATGTTTTAAAAATAGCTTCAAAAAATATAAATGGGTGATGAATAAAGCACATTGCGAGCTGTTATTTAACAATTTTGGAATAAAATATTAACAAATATTTCATGTGAAATGTGGCGCGGACTACGAGTTGACATATTTTTGTGGAATGACCCATATGAAGAATCGGCCGATACCAAATCGGGGTAATGTGCGCGCTTTCATACATCTCCATACTGATGAACAGCCCGACCCAACTATCGGCCAACTAAAAGTCGGTGATCTACGCCTAGGCTTAGTTGTGTCTAAATTGCTGTCAAATCGTGTCATTCTTTTCGTGCTGATGATGTTAAATTTATGATAAATGTTACCCCCCAAGTGGTGGTGGGGTAAGCTATACAAGGATGTGTATACCTAGGTGTCCTAAAATTGTAATATCTTTTGTCGCAGCGGATTTCTGCCGCTCGCTGTACGCAGACGTGACGGCGCTGCAAGGCGGCAAAGTGGTGTGGAGTTTCATCAAGCCGCTGCTCATGGGCCGTGTGCTCTACGCGCCGCCCGGGCCCGCTGTCGACCGGATCATACGACAAGTAGGTTTCAATCCTTATTTATACCATTATTGTGAAGGTATTAAAGAAATTAAAGAGGCGATTGAGCGAAACAAGGGCTCTAAAGTGTTCGCAAGAGATCTGTCTGTTGGCCAAAGTCAACTGACCAAGCTGAAGACAGAGGATGGCAGAGCCATTTCGTCGGGGCCGGAGATATTGGAATAGGTTGAGAAGTTCTACGGACAATTATACACGAGTGTACGCGCACCTGTCACAAATCTAGCCGAAGACCCAAGAGCTAGACTGACCCGACACTATACCGAATATATCCCGGACGTCAGTCTGTACGAGATTAGAATGGCTCTCAAACAGCTGAAGAACAACAAGGCACCGGGTGATGATGGAATCACGGCTGAGCTTTTGAAGGCAGGCGGAACGCCGGTACTAAGGGCTCTTCAGAAGCTGTTCAATTCCGTCATCCTCGAAGGAAAAACGCCTACGACATGGCACAGAAGTTCCATTCTTTCGCAGCTTAAAATTGTGATGTATTAAATACACTTCTCTCCTAGTATACTTATGAATATTATAATAGCCAAATGTGTGATATACATATCCTTGAACATTTTACACTGCGTTTCTAGTTCCAAGCTAATAATAACAAAAAGAATTGATGATTTGCTGATGGTTTCCTCTACTTATCACACTGTTTCTCATCAAACATGATTAGAATTAAGAAAATCCGGTTTTGATTTTGATAAGGAAAGGAACAAGTGGTATTTTTTTTTTAAATAAATAACTAACCCCAAACTATCATTATCTAAAAACATTTTAGGAGAATACTTAACGTAAATATTTACCAAAACCAATATCTCTTTCCACCCAGGCCAACTCAACCTTCGCGCACATGTCGCGTCTCGCGGACCTAGTCCACGCATTCGCGGCGTCCTTCCCAGCCGTGGGCGAGCTGGCCTCGCACGCGGCGGGAGCAGAAGTGATGACGAGGCTGCTAGCAGCGCCTGCCTTTGAGGACCTGAGGACCATGCTGCTGGGAGACGCTGAAGTGGCTGATGTGGAGTTCAGTGGGGTGCTGGATAAGCTGGGAGACGTGCAGGTTAGAATAGCTTCAGTTTTTATCGAAGAAACTACTAGTGGCGCTGCTCTTTGGCGACCTAGCTATCTTAGTGCACGCGTTCGCAGCATCCTACGCGACTGTGGGTGAAATAGCGAATTTTGCGGCGAGTACCAAGGTTCTAATGCGTCTGCTAGCATCACCGGCCTTTGAAGACCTGAGGACCATGCTGCTGGGAGATGCTCAAGTGGCTTATGTGGAGTTCAGTGGGGTACTTGATGAGCTGGGTGACGTCCAGGTTAGAATAGCTTAAGTTTCTATAGAAGACACTGCTAGTGAGTAGGGACGCTGGTCTTTGATGACCTAGCCGTCTTTCGTGGCATCTTACGCGGCTGTGGGTGAACTAGCGAATCACGCGGCGGGTGCCGAAGATCTAATGCGGCTGCTAGCATCACAGGCCTTTGAAGACCTGAGGACCATACTGCTAGTGAGTAGTAACCCTGATCTTTGACGACCTAGACGTCTTAGTAGACGCGTTCGCAGCATCCTTCCCTGCTTCGAAGACCTGAGGACCATGTTGCTAGGAGATGCTGAAGTGGGTGATGTGGAGTTCAGTGGGGTGCTGGATGAGCTGGGTGATGTCCAGGTTAGATATGATTTAGTTTCTATTGAAGATACTGCTAGTGAGTAGTGACGCTAGTCTTTGACAAACTAGTCGTCTTAGTAGACGCGTTCGCAGCATCCTTCCCAGCCGTGGGCGAGCTGGCCTCGCACGCGGCGGGAGCAGAAGTGATGACGAGGCTGCTAGCAGCGCCTGCCTTTGAAGACCTGAAGACCATGCTGCTGGGAGATGCTGAAGTGGCTGATATTGAGTTCAGTGGGGTGCTGGATGAGCTGGGTGACGTCCAGGTTAGAATAGCTTAATTTTGTTTTGGAAGGACTGAGTTGTACTTGAAGGCTTGGTCCGGATTCCAATAGGCACTCAAATCGAGTGATTATAAGTTTAAGATCTATCGAAAACTTTCGTCTTTAGGGACCTCAGGGGTCATGTTGCTAGGAGACGCGAGCACGAGAAGAGAGTTCAGTAGCACACTGGATGACGTTTTCAGACATTTATAAAAGATCCCCTTCTTCCATCGTCCAACTAGATAGGTAAACAAAGATGTCTTCCATTTGTTGTGACAGGCGACCTAGTTAAAATTGCATGTAGTCACAGGAATTAAACAGGAATGGACTTGAGACAGATTATAATGATGTTTGACGATTATAAATGTAATTGTCCCCCCAGGGTCTAGGCAACATCCTGTCCAAAGCGTCGGAACTCCTGCGCTGCATCAACCTGAACCGCTTCCACGCGGCTCCCACCGAGGAAGCGCTCACGCATCAAGCCGCCGAACTTACTATGCTCAACGAGTTCTCCGCAGGTATGCACAACTAGGTGGACCGACGATTTATCCAGCAGTCGATCGTCTACTGACATTTTTTTGTGTATCTTAATATCATGGCAATAACTTAATCAAAACATGTTTTTAGGTCTCGTGTTCCTGAATACCGACGAATCCTTCACAAACATCGAATATAAAATCCGGATGGACATAGAAAACACTCCTACAACCAGAAGGATGAAGAACTAGTAAGTTGATTTTTTTTTGTACTCATTTAAAGCTACTAAATATTAATGTCCTTATCTGGGGGCACGGCAGTGCCCCCACCAAGTCGAGCAAAAAAGCGACACGGCCGTACCATCCTTTTCTCGAAGCAATTCAGGCCATTTTCGACCGCCTGTAACTTCGTTGTGGATAAAACTAGAAGGCTGAATTTTCATTAGCTATGCAGGCATTGTAAAGACACGGTATATTTAAAATTTCATTCAATTTGAACCAGTAGTTTAAGAATTATAACGGGTCAAAGTTACTTAATTTTGTCACTCACTGACTGACTCACTGACTCACTGACTCGCCGATCATCAAAACTCTAAGGCACTTCTAGCAGACCTAGAAGCTTCAAATTTGGAATATAAGTAGTGTTTGGTGTATGAATCAAGGAAAAACTAAAATATTTGGGGGCACGGTAGTGCAACCGCCAAGTCGAGTAAAATTTTTCAATTTCGGTCCAGTTTTCTAGATACATAACTGCTGTCTACAAAATACAAAAAGAAATGAGATCCCATCAAAAACAATACTTGTCAAAAAAACCAAGTCTCGCAACTCAGTTGTTCTACGGTAAAAAGTTGTGAGATCCATGTAATACCAAGTCCAGGCCAGGAAATCTTTAACGTTTTACATAAATATATTGACTTGGCCATCGCATGAAAACACGTGTAAATTAAATTATTTAGTGCGATGGCCAAGTCAATAATTTATGTAAAACGTTAAAGATTTCCTGGCCTGGACTTGGTATTACATGGATCTCACAACTTTTTACCGTAGAACAACTGAGTTGCGAGACTTGGTTTTTTTGACAAGTATTGTTTTTGATGGGGCATTGTAACACATTAGAATTTGACACAAAATGAAACCATGACCATTGATGGGACCATTTTTGACCAGCATTTTTGCTTGTCAGTAGTCCCCTCTATCCGAACACTGCAACAGTCTGTAACAATACACGATAGTTTATTTATGTAAATAAAATTCAATCTTAGTATTTTATTGCATTCATTATGTACTTAAAATTAGAACATTATGGGCTCTGTAGAGCACGGCAATTAGGAGATACATGCTAATTTTTAAGTGACCCCTATGGAAAACAGGAATTTTGTTTTCAAAGGGGTCACTTAAATATTAGGGATTGATGGTGAAAACGGGCAACAATGTACTATAACTGCTTCTTTTCACCAGCCTCTGGATCCCCGGGCCGGAGGCGTCCTTCCTCGAAGACCTGCGCTACTTCCGCGGCTTCGTTCAGATCCAAGACCTGGTGGACACCGCCATCATCCAGCTCGCCAGGAACGCCTCCCGGAGGAGCAAGAGGGAGGCCACAGGAGGAGAACCAGACTGGGCCGTTTACACGCAGCAGGTGCCCTACCCCTGCTATAGGAAGGACTTGTGAGTTTCGATTTTTTTCCTTTCAGCTAAATGACTTCCAATCTTGCCTCACTAGGATATGCGCCGTGATCTTATTAATAATTTTTGATGACAAATGTATGGGCCCATAGCGTATAATCGATAAAATGACATGATATGACATGTTATCGAGTTGCTCATCCTATGCCTACTGAACGAAGGCCTCCTTTTCTCCTTATTCATCCTCTGTGGTCGTTACTCGAGGACTATTCTGTCCCGTTAGTTCTACGAATTATGAGTATGTTTATCTTTGCTGATCAAGAAAAATTATCGTAACTATCTCTAATAAAGAGGGCTTTTTATCATAACACAATTTTTCTTCAGTCTGTGATTCTTACAGCTTCGAAGAATCCTTTCTTAAAAAAAATATACCAATACATTTGATTGCAGCTTCCAAACGTCTCTGTATGAGTCGCAGGCGCTGATCGTGGCGTTCTTCTTCTCGATGCTGTTCACCGTGGCCTCTGTGGTGCGGTTCGTTGTAGCTGACAAAGAATCTGGCAACACTATGGTAAGTACATCTTAAAACAGGTGTCACCATTTCAGCTTTTTATCTTTAAACCTACCTGAGAACTAGACTACAAGAGAATATTTTTATGTATGCAGATGCATGTTGCGGTCTTTGCTCCACCTTTTTAATCAAAAGACGTCTACAGTCCAAAGCCTCCTCCAAGGATTTTCACAACGATCGGTTCTGACCTACATTGTTCGGAGCAGCATGGTAGCAGGCAGGTCCAGGCAGCTCTAGTTGGTCTAGGTGCAAAGCTACAACAAATCAACGTATTCCCCGCGTTTGCGGTGACGTGCGAGCGTGACCTTTTGGTTGCGTTGCTACAGGCGTGGTCACAAGCAGACCGGTAGCTCGCAGAGTCGTCTACTGTCAAGATCTGCGGTTACCTTATTGCTAGTGTTGTTACTATTCTTTTCCGTCCTCGCTACACTCTTGCCAGAATGGTCGTGGTCATCACACCCGGTCCGGTGGCAAGCCCTACAATCCGTCGCCATTCCTCCCGCATTGCAGCCTTTCTTGTGCACTCGTGGAGTGACCATTGAGTGCGGTTTTGACCTGGTCAACTGGTTAGTTCGTTTGTTCGTTTCAGCCAGATGACGTCCACTGCTGGACTCCTGGGCTCCTCCAAAGTTTTCCACAATGCACGGTCCTGCGCTGCCCGCATCCAGGCTCTTCCCGCGACCTTTACCAGATCGTCGGTCCACCTAGTAGGAGGCCTGACCAAGCTACGTCTTCCAGCCCGTGGTCGCCACTCGAGAATTTTTCTGCCCCAACGGCCATCGTCTCTACGAGCTATGTGCCCCGCCCACGATTTGACCTGGTCAATTTGGTCACGTAGAATTTTGCCCAATGACCCCAAGCTACCCATCCTTATCGCTCGCGCGTAATTATATTGCTGTCGCGACTGTGCGACGCACGCCCGCAGTGAGTGTGCGAGCTTTATGTTGCTGTCGCGCTCGCACACTCACTGCGGGCGCCCATCGCACAGTCGCGACAGCAATATAATTACGCGCGAGCGATAAGGATGGGTAGCTTGGGGTCATTGGACAAAATTCTACGTGCTCACGGATCAGGCTTTAGTTACTATAGCGATTTATTATTATTGGCAGCTGATGCACGTGATGGGCGTGGAGCTCCGCTGGCAGACGCTATCGTGGTTCCTGTGGAGCGCACTGGAGGCGCTGGCGGCGATGGCGGGCGTGGCGCTGGTGCTGTGCGCGGGCGGCGTGCTGGCGCGCACAGCGCCCGCGCTCGTGCTCGCGCTCGCCGCCGCCTTCGCCGCGGCCGTGCTGTGCTTCTGGTGAGCCGGGGGATGGCATTCTCTGCCAGTCCGTTTTCACCATCAATCCCTAATTTTTGAGTGACCCCTATGTAAACAAAATTCCTGTTATTTGTTACCATAGGGGTCACTAAAAAATTAGGGTATTTTTTTTATCCTTGGACATTTTACACTGCGCTTCTAGTCCCAAACTAAGCAAAGCTTGTACTAGACAACGAATATAAACATACTAAATACGTTTTTTTTTTATAAATACATGCTTAATAATCATAGAAAACGCCCAGTCCAATGCAAACAAATATGTTCATGCACACAAATGTTTGTACTGTGCGGGAATCGAACCCGCTACCTCCGGAATGGTAGTCCGTTTCGAACCACTACACCAAACGGCCGACATTTGATGGTGAAAACGGGCATAAGGCACTTATCGGGTATCATCGGTCCCCATCGGCGATCATCGAGTACGCGTACGCGATGTGAAAACAACCGTAGCCTTTTAGGTGCCCGGCAGTGGCACTCGGCCTCCCGATCGCTATCGGACCAGCAACGCGGTCTTCCCATATAGGCGGGAACTAGCAAATACCTGTGGGATACAGTCCATCTCAATTACTTTCAAGTCTACATATAGATAGTGCCATCCACGAAGACGCGCTCAACAATTTTTCCGTTAATGTTTGAGTGTTATCGGTACACGCTAATTATCCTTGAGTGCACACGCATACTGCAATAATTTCGCGACTGACGCTCGGATCAAACTCCTTTCACCTCGCGCTCCCTCGACCAAAAATTGGTGGGGCGCGTCTTCGTAGATGGCTCTATCATCCATTTTAGTCTGTCCACTCCGCTCATAGTTCTCACAGGTTCACTCAAAACACACATTGAAACTATGTATAGTCTGGTCTGTGAGCACGTAGAATTTGGTCCAATGACCCCAAGTTACCCATCCTTATGGCTCGCGCGTAATTATGTTGCTATCGTGCTCGCACAATCACTGCGGGCGCCCGTCGCACAGTCGCGACAGCAATATAATTACGCGCGAGCGATAAGGATGGGTAGCCAGGGGTCATTGGACAAAAGTCTACGTGCTCACAGACCGGGCTTTACCCATATCTCCGCAGCTACATGATGTCGAAGCTGTTCAGCTCGGCCAGCTCGGCGGCGGTGTGCGGCGCCGTCGCCTACCTCGTGACCTTCATGCCCTTCGTGCTCATCCTGTCGCTCGAGGCCGTCATCTCGCGCGCCGCCAAGATCCTCATCGTGAGTACACACTGATATAACATCTTGTATGTGATGCGACTTTCGGTCGATGTGACAAGGGTATTTATTGCACAAAAAAAGTGTATCCCATCAAANACTATTACTTATTTTGTGACTGCTTTCCTAGTCCCAAGCTAATAATAACAAAAAGAATTAATGATTTTCTGATGGTTTCCTCTACTTATTACACTGTTTCTCATCAGACATGATTAGAATTAAGAAAATACTTAGCAAGTAAGTATTACTTATCCGCTGCAGGTTTTGATTTTGATAAGGAAAGGAACAAGTGGTATTTTTTAAAATAAATTATGACTAAGTAGAATTTCAATAACTGATCCCAAACTATCATTATCTAAGAACATTTCAGGAGAATACTTAACGTAAATATTTACCAAAACCAATATCTCTTTCCACCCAGGCCAACTCAACCTTCGCACACATGTCCCGTCTCGCGGACCTAGTCCACGCATTCGCGGCGTCCTTCCCAGCCGTGGGCGAGCTGGCCTCGCACGCGGCGGGAGCAGAAGTGATGACGAGGCTGCTAGCAGCGCCTGCCTTTGAAGACCTGAGGACCATGCTGCTGGGAGACGCTGAAGTGGCTGATGTGGAGTTCAGTGGGGTGCTGGATGAGCTGGGTGACGTCCAGGTTAGAATAAGATCCAGTTTCTATTGAAGATACTGTTACTTAGTGAGTAGTGACGCTGGTTTTTGACGACCTAGTAGACCCGTTCATGGCATCCTACGCAACTGTGGGTGAACTAGCGAATCACGCGGCGGGTGCTGAAGTACTAATGCGGCTGCTAGCATCACCGACTTTAAATCACCGGCCTTTGAAGACCTGAGGACTATGTTGCTGGGAGATGCTCAAGTGGCTGATATTGAGTTCAGTGGGGTGCTGGATGAGCTGGGTGACGTCCAGGTTAGATATGATTTAGTTTCTATCGAAGACACTACTAGTGACGCTGGTCTTTGACGACCTAGCTGTCTTAGAACACGGGTTCGCGGCGTCTTTCCCAGCTGTGGGCGAGGACCATGCTGCTAGATGTTGAAGTGGCTGATATTGAATTCAGTGGGGTACTTGATGAGCTGGGTGACGTCCAGGTAAGAACAAGTTAAGTTTCTAAAGAAGACACTGCTAGTGAGTAGTGACGCTGGTCTTTGAAGACCAAGCCGTCTTTCGTGGCATCATACGCGGCTGTGGGTAAACTAACGAATTACGCGGCGGGTGCCGAGGATCTAATGCGGCTGCTAGCATCACAGGCCTTTGAAGACCTGAGGACCATACTGCTAGTGAGTAGTAACCCTGATCTTTGACGACCTAGCCGTCTTAGTCCACGCGTTCGCAGCGTCCTTCCCAGCTGTGGGCGAGCTGGCCTCGCACGCGGCGGGAGCAGAAGTCATGACGAGGCTGCTAGCAGCGCCTGCCTTTGAAGACCTGAGGACCATGCTGCTGGGAGACGCTGAAGTAACTGATATTGAGTTCAATGGCGTGCTGGATGAGCTGGGTGACGTCCAGGTAAGAACAGTTTAAGTTTCTAAAGAAGACACTGCTAGTGAGTAGTGACGCTGGTCTTTGATGACCTGGCCGTCTTTCGTGGCATCCTACGCGACTGTGGGTGAAATAGCGAATTTTGCGACGAGTACCAAGGTTCTAATGCGTCTGCTAGCATCACCGGCCTTTGAAGACCTGAGGACCATGCTGCTGGGAGACGCTGAAGTAGCTGATATTGAGTTCAGTGGGGTGCTGGATGAGCTGGGAGAGTTCCAGGTAAGAACAGGTTAAGTTTCTAAAGAAGACACTGCTAGTGAATAGTGACGCTAGTCTTTGAAGACCTAGCCGTGTTAGTGCACGCATTCGTGGCATCCTACGCGGCTGTGGGTGAGGCTGCTAGCATCACCGGCCTTTGAAGACTTGAGAACCATGCGACTGGGGTGCTGGATGAGCTGGGAGACGTCCAGGTTAGAATAGCTTAAGTTTCTATAAAAGACACTGCTAAGTGACGCTGGCCTTTGACGACCTAGCCGTCTTAGTCCACGCCTTCGTGGCGTCCTTCCCAGCCGTGGGCGAGCTGGCCTCGCACGCGGCGGGAGCAGAAGTGATGACGAGGCTGCTAGCAGCACCTGCCTTTGAGGACCTGAGGACCATGCTGCTGGGAGACGCTGAAGTGGCTGATATTGAGTTCAGTGGGGTGCTGGATGAGCTGGGTGACGTGCAGGTTAGAATAAGATCCAGTTTCTATTGAAGATACTGCTAGTGAGTATTGACGCTGGTCTTTGATGACCTGGCCGTCTTTCTTGGCATCCTACGTGGCTGTGGGTGAACTAGCGAATTACGCGGCGGGTGCCGAGGATCTAATGCGGCTGCTAGCATCACAGGCCTTTGAAGACCTGAGGACCCTACTGCTAGTGAGTAGTGACGCTGGTCTTTGATGACCTAGCTGTCTTAGAACACGCATTCGCAGCGTCCTTCCCAGCCGTGGGCGAGCTGGCCTTGCACGCGGCGGGAGCAGAAGTGATGACGAGGCTGCTAGCAGCGCCTGCCTTTGAAGACCTGAGGACCATGCTGCTGGGAGACGCTGAAGTGGCTGATATTGAGGTTAGTGGGGTGCTGGATGAGTTGGGAGACGTGCAGGTTAGAATAGGTTAAGTTTCTATCAAAGACACTACTAGTGGCGCTGGTCTTTGGCGACCTAGCCTTCTTAGTGCACGCGTTCGCAGCATCCTACATGGCTGCGGGTGAACTAGCGAATCACGCGGTGGGTGCCAACGTTATAATGCGGCTGCTAGCATCATCGGCCTTTGAAGACCTGAGGACCATGCTGCTGGGAGACGCTGAAGTGGCTGATGTGGAGTTCAGTGGGGTGCTGGATGAGGTGGGAGATGTTCAGGTAAGAACAATTTAAGTTTCTAAAGAAGACACTGCTAGTGAGTAGTGACGCTGGTCTTTGAAGACCTAGCTGTCTTAGAACACGCGTTCGCGGCGTCCTTCCCAGCTGTGGGCGAGGACCATGCTGCTAGGAGATGTTGAAGTGGCTGATATTAAATTCAGTGGGGTACTTGATGAGCTGGGTGACGTCCAGGTTAGAATAGCTTAAGTTTCTATAAAAGACACTGCTAAGTGGCGCTGGTCTTTGATGAACTAGCCGACTTAATGCCGTTCGCAGCGTCTTTCCCAGCCGTGGGCGAGCTGGCCTTGCACGCGGCGGGAACAGAAGTGATGACGAGGCTGCTAGCAGCGCCTGCCTTTGAAGACCTGAGGACCATGCTGCTGGGAGACGCTGAAGTGGCTGATGTGGAGTTCAGTGGGGTGCTGGATGAGCTGGGTGACGTGCAGGTTAGAATAGCTTAAGTTTCTATAGGAAGGACTGTGTGGTACTTGAAAGCTTTGGTCCGGATGTCCAATAGTCACTCAAACCGAGTGGTTATTAGTAACTAAGGTTAAGATCTATCGAAGGCGCAGCGTTTTGTCTTTGAGGACCTTAGGGCCATGATGCTAGGAGACTCAAAAATGGTTGATATGAAGTTCAGTAACACACTGGATGACGTTTCCAGGCGTTTGTAACTCTAGAATCTCCTATCATCCAACTAGACAAGTCGAGAACCTATGCACCATGTTGCTAGGAGACGCAAAAATCTTTAATGTGGTGTTCAGTAGCATACTGATCTGGGGGCACGGCAGTGCCCCCGCCAAGTCGAGCGCGAAGCAAACACTGCCGTACCATCCTTTNCATAGGATCCTTTTTATCCCGTTCGAAATAAAAAAAAAGTCTGCTTATTTATTGCCATTAAGGCGGAACAAAGTTCGCCGGGTCAGCTAGTATCCTGATAAAATAAAAACAGTAATAATGCTAAATAACAGGCGATACTAAAAAATACATAAAATACACAAAAAAGGCCAACAAATAATAAAAAATTATACTTTTTGAAAAAAATCTGCTTTTAAATTCGTGTTTTTTTGGTTATTTGATAAATTTCTCCAAAAAATGCCCGTATAACTGGTGGTTTTTATTACTTTGTTTTATTCTCTATCGTATTATCTTTGTAAAACCAAAAATCGCATGTCTCTATCCCTATCACAATATTTGCTATGATCGTTTGAACAAAGGCCTGCCACAACATTATTCTCCGCTACAGGTAGAGACAATTTTAATTTAACTAAAATGCTTATTTTACTTCGAAATCTTTTGTTTTTATTTGAAATCTAACTTGTATTTATCAAAATTATAAATCTAGAGCCATTTTCAGTTTCGTTGTTAACGAAGCGTTGAATGGCGCGTCCGGAGAGGCTTAGTTAAAACAATCATTGCAAACGTTGTGATAGGGATAGAGACATGCTATTTTTGGTTTTACGAAGGTAATACGATAGAGAATAATACAAAGTAATAAAAACCACCTGTTATAGGGGCATTTTTTGGAGAAATTTATCAAATGACCAAAAAAACACGAATTTAAAAGCAGATTTTTTTCAAAAAGTATAATTTTTTATTATTTGTTGGCATTTTTTGTATATTTTATGTATTTTTTTAGTATCGCCTATCATTTAGCATTATTACTGTTTTTATTTTATCAGGATATACCGCTTAGTTTAAAAGTTATTACGTTTTCTTTACAAGAAGTAATTGGAAGAAAAAATATTATATAAAAAATTAAAAAAAAATCTCAAAAATTATTTGACCTCTTTTTTGTCGATAAAAATAGGTCTAGTTTCATCTTTTTTCATATGTACACTTTAACGTGACTCACACTGTATAGGTAGGTAAAGAGAATAATATAATCCCATCAAAAACAATACTTGTCAAAAAAAACCGGCCAAGTGCGTGTCAGACTCACGCACAAAGGGTTCCGTACCATTGATTTATGAAATTAAAATTATTATTTTTAATTTAAGTTATTTGTATGAAAGATTACGCGGTAATAAGCGGTTTACGATTTACGAGGTATTAAAAAAAAACTACTTACTAGATCTCGTTCAAAACAATTTTCGTTGGTAGTTTTTATAG